ATTCATGAATATCTGGATCTGGGTCATATGAAAGAAGTTCCGTCGACTCACAATTCTCCTACCTACTATCTTCCACATCATGCGGTGATCAAGCCCGAAAGCACCACTACAAAGCTTCGCGTTGTATTTAACGCTGTGACGGTTAGGTCATTCCTCGGGGCTCAAGGATGGCCAGGGTTCATCTCAGAAATTTATTTGTTGTCTGATGTGGTTGCTGAAAGAGATGCCGACCCGGTCCCAGAGTAGAACGCCGAGAAATATGCCGTAACTATAATTATCTGTTTATTGCCTCGAACATTACAAGTGTTAAAAAAAGATTGGGTTTAGTCTGCTGCCGCGGGTAGTCGCTCCGGAACGCCGCATTTCAGGGTTAGGTACATCCTTCCCGCTCGGGTCGACAGTGTCGGTGAAACGCCGATGCGCAGATGCTCCTCAGATCTCCTTGAGTGCGAATAACTGGTGGAGGCCCTCAGGTCTGCCAGTTAGTGGAATAACTTGTTAGCGGAGACCCTGAGATCTTCCAGTTAGCGAGCAGATTTGTGGAGTCCCTAAGGGGTTCCACTCTTTAGAAGTTCGTATAGGCCCTAAGGTCTTCTAAGATGGAAAAGTTTGTAGAGGCCCTAAGGTCTTCTAAGATGAGAAGTTTGTAGAGGCCCTAAGGTCTTCCAAGATGAGAAGTTTGTAGAGGCCCTAAGGTCTTCTAAGATGAGAAGTTTGTAGAGGCCCTAAGGTCTTCTAAGTTTGTAGAGGCCCTAAGGTCTTCTAAGTTTGTAGAGGCCCTAAGGTCTTCTAAGTTGGTAGAGGCCCTAAGGTCTTCTAAAAGAGAGAAGTTGTTAGAGGCCCTGAGGTCTTCTAAGATTGAGAAGTGGTTAGAGGCCCTTAGGTCTTCTAAGATTGAGAAGTTGTTAGAGGCCCTAAGGTCTTCTAAAAGAGAGATGGTTTAAGAGGCCCTCAGGTCTTCTAAGTTTGAGACGTGCACGGAGGCCCTAAGGTCTACCGAGATATATAGAGACTTATAGAGAGGCCCTTAGGTCTTCCAATATTGAGACGTACAGAGAGGCCCTAAGGTCTTCCACAAGTTATAGACGTAAGATATGGTCGGGGTCCCGACTATGGGTTACCGCTTACCAATATACCTTACTTAACCGTGCTCCTTGAGTGACTCCGCGCTCCTTGGGTGACTCCTTGCTGCTGGCTTCCCCTTAGCTCCTGTTAGAGGACTTGGCCGATCGCTGGCCGAAAACTGAATGCCTTTCAAGGGCTGAGGCTCGCCTTATATAGGGCTCCGGTGCGGCCGAGTGTGACCGACGCGCCCGGAGAAATTTGCCATTAAGAGTGTGGCCAGATCCTCATTTGGGCCAGTGTGACCCTTTGCGCCTGATCATGGCGCGCGCGCATTTAATTCAAATCTATTCCATATTCATAGTTTTCTATTGCCTATTCTATTCTCATCCTTATTTTATATCTTACGTATATATTTGTGCGCGTCTGCGCGTCACAACGCTTCAAGCCCTTCAGCAAATGGAACCAGTTTAAATGATATTTTTCATGCTGGTCCAGTCCTGAAATCTGATCTGACTATTCAGATCCTGAAGTGGCAATGCTTCCAATATGTCTTCAGTGCGGACATTACTAAAATGTACCGTCAGATTTGGGTCGATTCCAAGCACACACCCTTTCAAAGAATTCTGTTCCGAAATAAGGAAGGAGATATCCGAGACTTCGAGTTACAGACAGTTACTGCGCGCCCTTCTTGGCTATCCGAGTGCTGCAACAGCTAGCAAAGGACGTCCAAGGGCCATTTCCACAGGCCAGCCGCATTCTTCAGCATCACATGTATGTCGATGACGTGCTGGCCGGCGCAAATTCCGTAGAAGACGCCCAAGATTCGGTCCAAGAATTGCGAGCAGCTCTAAGTTTCGCTGGTTTTCCATTAAGAAAATTGACTTCTAACCGTAAGAGCAAAACATGCGATATTCCAGCTGATCACCTTCTCCATAGCGAGTTCCTCGATATCGATGCCGAAAGCACGGCCAAGACGCTGGGTATTCGATGGAGGGCAAAATCCGACGAGTTCTATTTCGTCCCTCCAGAATTAATAGTGGAACCTTCCTACAAAAAGCGGGAAGTTTTATCCCAAATCGCTAAGCTGTTCGATCCTGCCGGATGGCTGGCTCCGTTCATCATCCGTTCCAAAATGTTTATGCAGGAGATTTGGTTGCAAGACTTAGGCTGGGATGACAAGCTTCCCACGCACATGAGTCAGAGTAGGCAGTCGTTTCTCAAAGAATATTCCGACGGCTTCTGTGACGCGTCGCAGAAAGCCTATGGAGCTGCTATCTATGTCCGCGTCGAGATGGGTCACCAGATCTTGACTCGTCTGCTGACAGCCAAGACACGAGTGGCTCCGGTGAAAACCGTGTCCCTCCCCCGGCTAGAGCTCTGTGGAGCGGTGCTTTTAACCGAAATGGTGACAGCAATCCTTCCGCATTTGCCTACCGCCAGTTCCGCTCTCCGCTGCTGGACAGATTCCACGATCGTCCTAGCCTGGTTACGTAAGCCTGCTTGCAACTGGACTACGTTTGTGGCCAACAGAGTTGCCAAGATCACTCAGGCAACACCAGTCGACTGTTGGGCACACGTTCCCTCCGAACAAAACTCCGCCGATTTAGCCAGTCGAGGCGTACCCCTGATCGATCTAGCGGATAGCAAACTTTGGTGGCAAGGACCAGAGTGTTTGCAAGGGCCTCGTGAGCTTTGGCCTGCCCAAAATGCCATCGACCCGACCGAATTAGAACAGCGTGCAGTCAAGGTGCATTTCAGCAAGAACCCGTCCGAAGAATATCTTGAGCGTTTCTCCAAACTGGACAAAGCTCTGCGGGTCTTAACGTACGTTCTGCGATTCCTTAAACGCTGCCGCAAGAGCTCGATCTCGCCCACTTCACGACCCACAAGTGATGAAATCCGGGAGGCAGAAAGAGTTTTAATCTCCATTGCGCAGCGCAGAGCATATGGCCAAGAGCAGAAGCATCTGGCCGAGAAAAGGTCTCTTCCAGTGTCAAGTCCGATTGCGAACTTGTTTCCGTTTATCGACCAACACGGCCTCCTAAGAGCATGTGGTCGCCTTACTGCTGCCAAAGGGTTGCAGTATGACGAACGCCATCCAATAATACTTCCCTATGCAGACTGTCTCGCCTTCTCATCCAATTTGCTTACCAGATTACTCTTCATGGCGGTAGTCAATTAATTGTACGCCTGATCCGATCGAAGTATTAGATTCCTAAAATTAAGAATCTGGTGAAGGCTGTGGTGAATCCGTGTAACATTTGCACGATTGACAAGAAGCGACTTCAAACCCAGCTGATGGGCGATTTTCCGACAGACAGAGTTTCCTTCTCGAGGGCTTTCACGTACACGGGCGTTGATTACGCCGGCCCTTTCGAGATCAAAAACTATACAGGGAGAGCGTGTCTCATAACAAAGGGTTATGTTTGTGTGTTTGTGTGTTTCTCTACGAAGGCTATCCATTTGGAACCCACTTCCGATCTGACAACCGAGAAGTTCCTAGCGGCCTTTGCTGGTTTCGTAGCGAGGCGCGGTTGTCCTCAGATCGGCGACATGGTAGTCGTCAAGGAGGACAATCTGCCATCCGACGAATGGCGGCTCGGCAGAATTAGTTCTGTCTTCCCAGGAGCCGATGACCTCATCCGAGTTGTGGAGATCCGCACAGCTCGTGGGACAATTAAGCGCCCAGTCCATAAGGTCATACTTTTCCCTGCGGAGGATCAAGAATCCTCCGTTCCCAGTTACTAGGGCTTCTCAGTTTCCGAGGTCCGACGTTTCGTGCTACCCCTGCTAACAGTTCGTTTTTCTTTTTTTTCTATTCATCGCAGGATACGTTTTTTGTACAATGGCTCCACGTCCTCGTACCGCCCAGTTCTTGGAAAGCAGACGTTCCTGAGGAATTCAATCCTACCGCTGCCGAGTCTGCCGGGGAATCCATCCTCTTTGGAAGTGCAAGAGGTTCCGAAAGCTGAGCGCCGAGAAGCGCTACCAAACAGTACTTATTAATAAATACTGCCCAAATTGCCTCGCCCACCAACATTCCGAGGGGACCTGCCGCAGCGAAGATGGCTGCAAGAAGTTCGGTGGGAACCACCACACCCTGCTACATATGCACGAGGAGCCGTCTCCACCACACCCGTCGCGCAATCCGCGCCAATCCGCCAGGTCGCATCCCCGCTGTTCCGCCGGGTCCGTCTCCCACTCTTCGTCGCCCAACCGGGTAGCCATTGAGCGTCCACGTCCGGAGGTCTCCGCTCCGGCTACGTCGGTGGCCACGTTGGTTCGTCAGAAGACGGTCCACATACTTCCGACGGCCATCGTCGTGGTGTACACGGGATCCTCCACGTTCGAGACCGCGGCGATGATCGAACCCTGTATGGCAGTGAGCAGTATCGACCGATCGCTGGCGGCCGCTTTCCGGCTGCCTTTCACCAGTCTGGGAGACGACGAGGTCTGTTCGGCGACTCTCCAATCCCGAACAGGCCACTTCAAGCTGGAGGTTGTCCTGAAGCTTGACCCGAGCCTCAAGATCCGGACTCCTATTCGGAATCTGAGCGACGCCACACGGGCTAAGTTCGGCGACATCCGTCTTGCGGATGAGCAATTTCACCGCCCGGAAACAATCTCCCTCGTTTTGGGCTCAGACGTGTTTGCGAAGCTGATCCAACCAGGGTTCCTGAAACTCTAGGATGGTTTGCCTGTTGCTCAGAGCACTGTGTTCGGATGGACCGTTTCCGGAGCCGTTCTGGAACACTGAAGCTGATCCTGGTTTCTTTTGCTAGCGCAAGGGGGAGAATGTTCACGCCAGAAGGGCGTGAAGTTACGAGCGGCAGTGTAAGCGGCAAGCGCTTGCGCTCAAGCTTGTGCTCCCGCTCACTGTTTCCTTCGCTCTGCCCGTCTCCCTCTCTTTCGCTATTCTCCAGCAGCGAACTCACCACTCCGCGGTCCCTGCAGCCCGTTTGCCATGTAGTTAAGTTAGTATTAATCAAGAACTGAAGTCAATAAAGTGTGATATAATTGAAGTGAAGCTACCCCCCTCTCGCCTACTATTTTGGAGCTTTTTCTTGTGGGATTCAGCAGTCTCCAGGCCAACTATTCCGACGACCACGCCATCCTAGAAGGACGACGATTTGTCTGGCCACTCCGCCCCCTCCATTTCAGACTTTGAATGCTCATATCTTCCACAAAAAAAATCTGAAAATTTTTGTTACAGATTTGGAATCCCAGGAAATTTGTATGGCTTAAAACGATTTTGCGATTATGAATTTTCCTATTTTTGCAACGGCTTTTGTTCGAGAGGCGCGCACTGTGCGGCGTAGCCGTCCCTAAGCTCGTCTGGAAGCGAGCGAAGATCGGGAACACGGGTGCGTGCGATCGGAAATACCGGGGTCTCCTGGCGTGAACACAACTCGAATGGTACGATGCTTTGGCAGCGTTTCAGGTATAAATAAGCAACAGTTTCGCTTAATAACTTTCCAATCTATTTCAATTTTCTTTCACTTTTAGTTTTGCATTTTTAGTTTGCATTAGACCTTTATCGAGTGCAGACGTGCATACGGACGACCGCTACGCGGAGTTTATTTTTGAAGTTTTTTTTCATGGTGAAAGAGTAATATCTGAACTCTAAAATATGTATATAAAGGTAGTCCAAGCCCTACAGTACATATGACAAACGGACGCAAGTGCGTGAGACATATTTATGATCTGAAAAAATCATCTATATGGTGCCACGCGTAACAAGCTCCCAAAAATGAGCATCGATCAAAAGATTGAGCGTAGAAGCTCTGTAAACCAATGAAACGGTTGTTTTGATATCAAAGCAGAAAAGACGTTTGTCTACCAAGCCCAACCCGGCTCTACTGACCGCCGACAGCAACAGAGCGCGCTCTTGCTCACCCGCCCTATTCACTCCAACTCCTACATCATGAAGCTATCAATGCCAAACCCCACCACCACCAGCTTCGATGGAAGACGCATCAACAACAAGCAGTGCTACAATTTCTGCAATCGCATCAAAAGCAACAGCAACAACTAAAACAACGACCAATATTGCGAAATCGGTGACAACGGCCCCAGCGCAAAATTCAATGATAACAAAAACCATAAGCTCCGATAAGCAACAAGAGGTTTCGGCCATACAGACTAGCATGGATCGCTACATACGTCGTCATAGCCCGGAGGCCAAGGGCCTTGTGGCCATCATCCCCACCGCTGCCACCTTCTCCTCCTCCTCCAACTATGCCAATCGGCAGGATCTCAAGCAGAATAACTTTGTGTGCTTTGTGGCCTGGGGGTTGCCGCTGAAGTGCTGGGCGCTTGTTTTGTGAGCAATCAGTCGGACAAGGTTCTGCAGTTCCTGGTGGCCACGCTTGTCCTTTGCTGTTGGATCTGTAACGTGCAACGTTTTAAAGCACAGTTTTGATCGAGATCTGAATTCGCGGGGGCCCGCTATAGAGTCCGGCTCTAGCTCGTCGGCTTTGTGGGTGGTGGTCTTGCTCGTTCAGATCTGCCTTGGTTTATAATCATTAATCAAGAAATTGAGAGTGCGTGCGATGGCATCCGAAAAGATATCGGAAAATGGGTAGAGAAAAAAAATATATATTCCAGAGGAGACAGTGGGAAAAGTCAGAAAAAGAAAAGAGGAGGGAAATTCGGCGAAGAGACGTAGGTGTTGTTACGTCATTTTGAATCCGCCCAACCTGTGATCACTATCTTCGAGCTCAGCTCGAGTGATCCCTTTTGATACCCTTACGACTGCAGAATCATCTGCCGAGTTCAAGCGAAAAGGACTACTCCATGGTTTCTTTTATGTCCATTTTAATACAATATTATAAGTCTAACAGTAAGAAGGGAAACCTTAGCATATAGGTAATAATTAATGTAATTTTTAGATATATACCTGAAGTAGAATACAATATTTAAGACATGTTAGTGTTAAGAGATAATACTTTATTTTAAATAAATTTTAATTTTGTAATTAAATTTCATTGCGGTTCTCTTGGCTAAACTGGAATAAATTTTTATGCGTTTATTATAACCTGTTAATGCTTTAATTTCTTGTGCGACAATTTTTATTTTTTCAGATATGTTCATTGTTCTATTTTTCTTTTAAACTAATTCTGTTTTGTTTTAGGCAGTTGGAATAAATTCATTTTTTTTTCTTACTTTTACTATTAATTTTCTTTTACTTAAATTTTATTTTAATTAGCATATGGGTGTTCTAGGCGTGGCGTGACGAATTTTATTTAAATACACGGCAAAAATAATAACCAATATACGCATCATTTTGTTGTTGCAACTCACATGATAAATTTTTCCTACGACGAAAGATCGATCTTCGGAGCGATGGCTGAAAGAGAATGCCGACTAATGTTTGCGATGGGTTAATAAATCTCGTCTACCTGCTTCATCTGCATTTCCTAATTTAATCTCTTTAATTTTGAAATATTCTATCCATAGTTTAATTCCGTTTTAATTAGCAAATACATTTTTTAACAATGCAAATTTGACTTCATTAATTTCGTAGAAGTTTTCTCTCAGTGTAGAAATAAAACCATGTGCTATGGGGCAGGCACTCGGCGAAATTGGGGAACTCGTGACCTTTTGCAAAATTTATGCACGATAGAAAGTGATTGGCGCTGGTATCGAGGGATTACTGTAGCGGCCGAAGAGGGAAATATTTTCACGCGGATTTATCATTAGGTTCAACCTAACCCCTCTAAAACAAATGTGCCTGGCACGAGTTGGCTCTAAAGAGCCACGTTAACGGCCGTGGCCGACTGCACGAAAATGCAGAGAGACTACATGCGCACTATTTGTTTGCTGATCTTCGACGGTAGCGACTTCTACACTGGGTTTAAATTAAATTTTCGGCGAAGATGCTCCGCTTAGCGGAGAGGTGCTCCGCTGGACGGAGAGGTTGCTCCGCTTGACGGAGAAGGTGGCTCCGCTTGAAGGAGAAGGTAGCGCGGCTTCTCTATCCGCCGATCTGGTCGCTGCGCCTCACAGGGCGATGTCTCCGTTCGGCGGAGATGGATGACCCTTCGCTGCCTGCGAGGGTAGGGGTGTTCCGTTGGCCGGCCGTGAAATTGGCCGCCTCGGAACGGCTGGCCTTACTGCCGCTAGAACGGCATAATCCTTCCCTCCTCCGATGCCACGCTGAAAGTGGGTGCTCCGCTGGACACTCCCTAAACCGAGTGTTTGCAAAAAAATGCCATCAGAATTATGCCAACAATTGGTGGCACTTAATGCTTACCTAGCCTTTCTGCCAACTTTGGCAACTAAACAATACAAAAAATTTCTCCTCGTGGTGCAGCTCCACTGCCGTTGATTTCGGATGCACTTTATTTTAACCCGCACTCAAATAAGACGCGTGTGATCGCTTTAGCACTCTCAGAGAAAAGAACATGGCCGGATTCCGGATATACACCGGTGAAGTTGGCCGATTGCTCCGATGCAGTTGCAGCCGGAGTGCAATAATTGGCAACGCTCTAATCACTGCTATACCTAAATGCATACTTTTAGGCCAAAGTACCTAAACAGACCAAAAGTGTTTCAGGCGCCGTTACAGATCTTTGGCTCCATGAACCTGATCTCCGGCTATCTGGTGCACTGCCGCACCAAGGAGATCCTGACAAACAGCAATGCCCTGACCCTGCAACAACGGAGTGCTCATGGGTATAGGCATATTCGTCTTTATGTATGGCTTAGCCTGCCCTTTGCTCATGCTGGGCGTCATCTATGAGTTTGCCAACATCGATGTCTGGCTGGGATCGGGCGAGACCAGCACTCTGTTGTGGCCGTTTTTGGTGCGCGCCTTTATGGAACTGATGCTGGGCATTTGCTGCTTTGCCTGGATCCTGGGACCCCGCATTTCCATTATGTACAAAAGTCAGGTGGGTGGTAATAATAAGATTAAGCCGTTGCCTGGAGGCACCGATGCTCAGAGCAGCTCGCGTGGCTCGCATGCGGCATGCAGCAGCACGGTTGTCTCTTACCATTCGGTGAGGCCATTCATGGCCAGTGCTCCCGCCGCAGCTGCAGAATCCCTACAAGCTAAAATCATTACCAGGAGCAGGTTCCATATCGTTGAATCAAATGAGGAATCATCAGCACAGGCACCATCACAGGCATCATCATCATCATCACCAGCAGCAGCAGCATCACCATCACCAGCAGGGACACCACTCTTCTTCCTCGCATCGCGTGTATTATCCACCGGGGGTAGAAGCTATGCCTCCCAGAACCACTACTATCCTCCCCTGCAGCATTATGGCGATAAGACGCTGCTCTAGGAGGAATTCTTTCCACATCAAATGTTCCTGCTTCCACTTAATATATAATTATATATATGTACTAGAAGACATTACCACGCATTGCTGTGGCTAACAAATGAGTATATTACAAAGTTCTTAGTAAATAACATGTGACACTTATGAATGGAGTTATGAATGACGTAGGTAAGATAGTAATATTTATTATTTGAATTATAAATATAATCGGGGCCAAATATTTTTGGTTAGCTTGTCTTTTGCTAACAAAAATAGATTTGACGGGTTTCCCACACGTGAACATGCAACATATAGTTGCCCATGAGAAAAACATGGATTTTCCAAATGTAAACCACATAGGGACATTTGACCTTGGGATTTACATATTTACAGACACGGCAGAATTTAAATGAATTTTAAAGGGTAGTATGCACATATAAGGTTGTCAAAAAAGTCCTGCGGTATTTTCGCTAGGTGTCTTTGCAAGCGCGTAGTTCTAGTTTTATTCGTCGCATCGGTTTACATTATACCTTTTTGGAAAGCTCTTTTCACGCGCTAACATTTGTTTGATTTATGGTTGTTTGTTTTTATTCGTTCGTGAGTTATAGCGCCGCAAACATGGAGCAAAATAAAGAGAAAATAGGCATATTTTACTGTACTACTACGATAAAGGCAAAAATGC